TTCTCTGCCCTCGCCGAGTGTGTCTCGGCCGACGACCCGCTTTCGCCGCGTTATCCACGCTTCGCGATCCATATCGCCGCCGCGCTTCGCGCCATTTTTCCGCGCTCCGGGCCAAGCCGGCCGAGAAACCGGCGCCGCCCGTGCCGATACCTGCCACCACGCGATTCGGTCCGCGCGAATACAACAGCACCGGCTCCGCCCCGCACATACCGCGGGTTGCCCCGCGCCGCCCACGACTAAACCAACGTCGCCTCGCACGCATCGACCCATTGTAAATGTCGCGAGCGTAGATTGTAATTGTTATCGAATAAATTTAACTATTTTCTCTTAACCGAGACGCGCCTTCATTTCGCTAACCTCGCCACCCGTCTGCTTCTCCGCACCTCCTTCGAACCCCGGCCAGCCGCGAGCTCGATCCGCGCTTCGAAGACAGGTTGTTTTATATTTTTGATCCAGCCTTAATATGTTTTTTAATAATTGGAATAAGAGTTCCTCGATCTCGCTGATTTTGAGGGCAAATTTCAAGACGAAGAGCACTAGTTGCAATATCGATGGCACCAAAAATCCAACTGCCTTCCACAACTCGACCACGTTCATATTTTCTTCTACCAAATTTCATTTCGTCAATTTCAACAATTTTACCAGGCCCACCAATAGGTCCCTCCTTGCTGGCCACGCGATCGATAGTGAGCATACAGACCTCTCTACAGTATGAATATATATCCACAATAGATTCTGAAGACACCTCTGAACGGCCAATATTTCTTATTTCGTTTCTGACAAATTCATACTTAAAACCGTTAGCAAAATAATAAGTAATCCGAAGAACATCTTTCATGGTTAAATTATGAAACTCAAACCATGTTTTTTCCGCCATAGTTCGCTCTACGCCATGTTTTTGACACCGCCATCACTTCCCAATGCAACTCATAGAATTCTGATAAGAGCGAGAAATGTTAGACAGCTTCATTAAATGCTTTCCATCCTTAGGACATTTGCGTTTAGATGGTAAGAGTCCAACATTCTAACACCACGCAATACACACTTCTCGAGAAAATAAAACTTCTCGGACAAGTCTCTCAATATTCCAATTCCCATCAAGAGGATCATTTGAGACCGAAACCATTTTTATGGTCTAGATTGTAATAAAATTATTATTTATTAATTAAATTATTATTTGTTAATTAATTTTATAATAAAACTAAGAAAAGATTCTATAAAAAATACCTATTACTAATTAATATCAAACTATTATTAATAAATAAAAAATATATTTTCAAATAACCTTTATTTCATACAAGTTCTATTCAATGTAAGAAATCCAAAACACCGAAGGATAAACTTTGCTTTGTACGGAAAGTCGCAAAACCATGTAAAGCAGTATAATTATAGACCTAGTTTTACATCCAAAGCATCGAACAATAGGGGGTAGATCTTGTTTTGCATAAAAATTTGCAAAACTATGCGAAACCTCGCTTCGCGCGAAGAATTGTAAACCCATATAGAACTGCACTTCACATTAAAAAGTGTATGCGTGGAAATAGAATCCCTATAGAATACAGAGTCCGACAATTTTTTAGACCTTTTTTCATTGGTCGGAACACATAACGGCGTAACCAATTAGAGTGTATACAGACACATCACTAGTGCTAGACACTAAAAGCCATTGCACACAAAATGCATAACTTAATTAGCATAAGCGTAGCATAAGACCGCTAAACCAATGAGCATCCAGCATAAAGTCGCCATATTGATTTACATAAGATGCTCATTGGTCCAGCGGTCTTATGCTATGCTTATGCAGCCTATGCAATTTGTGTGCGATGGCCTTAAAGGTCTATCCAGACAAACTTGAATAACGCATAAACATAAGCAAAAAGAAATTGATTGGTTTATATACATGTGCATAAGGAAATAGATCAATCCACAATTTTCAAAACATTTCCACGGAAAGTCCGACTTTTCATGCCTGTAGAGAGGGGCGAAAGTGGCCAATTTCACGCCAGGGAGGAAAGTATTTCCGTAGAGGTGTTTTAAAAATGGATTGGTCTATTTCCTTATGCTAGAAAAAAAGTATATTGTGTACCAAGGGGCGAAAGTATAGCGTTTTTCAGACTCATGTGATTTGCCGCCCGAGCCAAAGGGTTGAGCGGCAAATCATACGAGTCTGAAAAAGCTTTCGACCCGAGGTGCACACGATATTTTTTACAATATCTTTACGAAAATGTTCGACTTTTGAATGCCTGTAGAGTGTATGCGTTTAATATTCCATTCGTAAAGTTTGTACGCGCATGTAGTTAAATAGAAAAAGAAAAAAAGAGTGATGCGGTGTCAAGGGGCGAAGCCCCTGGTGGGGGGAGTGTGGGGGCGAAGCCCCCCACATAACACAAAATTAAAATAATAAAATTTAAAAAAATACATAAATAATTTTTGAATAAGATACAAGCCGTTTTCGGTCTAAGCTTAGATCTTAGGCAGCTCAATATTAATTTTTGTGTATATTTATTATTATAATACATATAGATATATATTCCAACTTGTTCGGGCGCGTAATAAACGCGTCGAACAAATCGCCGAATCCGTTCCGCGAGAACGCGAGATAATTGCGAGTGGCTTCGTCAGCCCTTTAACTATGAGACGACCGGGGTTTCAGTTGAACGCGGACTCGATCGCTTGTTAGGAAGTTGAGTGGAAGGCCCAAAAGACAGCAATTGATTTATAACCCATATATAAACTTTATTCGATATATTAAAACAAAACTGACGAAACGCGAGGTATACAAATAAATTAGTGCGAATGCACTCGGCGCGCTGTGCCTTGTCGTTTTGAAGCGCGGTTTTACATAAAGTGCGAATTTACTGAGCCGCGGTTCTCTCCTAATCTATACTCTTCGGCGCGGTCCGTTATGTTGCATCTGCACGCGGGCTGAAACGCGATCGGTATGTGCGAATGCCCGGGGCGATGGCTACGAGAACCCTCGTTACGAGGCTGAGCACGCTCGACCTCGCTGGACCATAGCCGTCGGGAGTGAGTTAGATGGAGTTCGGGAACACTCAGTAGAGGCTCGAAACACCGGACCTCCTTTTGCGTGTACCCTGGGATATTGGATGGGGTAGGCTTCGTCGAAGGCAGCAGAGAGCCGGAGCTAAAACGAAGTGCCGGCTCCTGTCGGAGCGCCGGTTTATATACCGCGGCGCGGCGGGTTCGTTGGAAGGGAGGCCGGCGGTCGGGCGAGCCGCGTGGGGATGCTGACGCGCTCTCGCCTTCGGCGCGGATCGGCTCCTTCCGGCGGTGCCGAACTAATCGAGAATTTTGCGTGAGAAGCAAACGAAAAGTATATCGCAGTACATCTGACGGACGGAGACAATTCTTATATTAATAAATGGGGGGAATCCCCAACATACCGCCCGCCTCGAAACCTTGGTTTCGAAATCGCATGGCTGAACTGGCGCGTTGCTCGAGGCGGTCGCTAAGTTTAGGCGATTCGAATAAGTGCATAGGGCACGGTGTACGAAGTTACGCCGGCGTTTCGGCGTTTTCGATATCGATTGGTAATACGCAGATTTTTACAACGGGCCGCTTGAATTCGGACGTTGCGGTCTTTACTGTTACGACTCGTACGACATTATCGGAGCCCGCGTGACATTGGATTATGCGGCCTAACTCCCATTTGCACGGTGGAAGTAACGGGTTTTGAAGGAGTACGAGCTGTCCTACTCGGATTTGCTCCTTCCCAGATTTTCGCCACTTGGCTCTTTGCTGCAGCGTGTTGACGTAATCGGTTTGCCACAGCTTCCAGAACCGTTCTGTCGTCTGACGGACCACCTGCCAACGCGAGAGCCGATTTTCATTAAGATGAAGCACAGAGGCTTCGGGGCTCGCGGTTAACGCGGCGCCTATCAAGAAATGACCGGGAGTGAGCGCTTCATATTCGTCAGCGGAATCGGTGAGCGGGGCGAGCGGCCTGGAGTTTAGACAGGCCTCTATATTGCACAGGAGTGTCGCGAATTCCTCGAACGTGAGGGTGTGAGCTCCCACTACTCTTCGAAGGTGGTGCTTTACGCTTCGAACTCCGGCTTCCCATAGCCTGCCGAAATGCGGGGCTGCTGGAGGAATGAAATGCCACGTAACTTGATCGGAGGCGGTTCGATTTAAGAAGTTTGGATCGCGTAGGGCCGCGCGAAACGCTCCTTGAATTTCGCGGTCCGCGCCGACGAACGTTGTTCGGTTGTCGGAGTAGATTGACGCGGGGAGGCCTCGTCGGGCGCAGAACCGTGAATATGCTCCTAAGAACGCGGGAGTCGAGTAGCCGTCCACTATCTCGAGGTGCACGGCGCGCGTGGCCATGCAAATAAAGATTGCGATATACGCCTTATGAGATGAGACTCCACGCCCGGACATCGGGCGCACACGCATTGGGCCCGCATAATCCAGACCGCAATGCTGAAACGCGCGCGCGGAAGGGGAGACTCTCACGTGAGGCAGTTGTCCCATTATCGGAGTGGAAATTGCCGCCTTTTCGCGGGCGCATACTACGCATCGGTGAATTACGGCCTTTACTATATTTCGCGCGCGCAAAATCCACACGTCCCGGCGTAATGTAGCGAGTGTGAGCTGCGTGCCGCGTGAAGCGACCTTACATGCGCGTGCTGGACTAGCAAAAGGACCAGAGGGTGAGAGGAGAGTATGATGGGGTGTTTCGCGGTTAGTGGTAGCGGAGCGTGGGCTAACCGCCCGCCTACGCGAATTAATTTATCTTCCCCGATAAAGGGATTGAGCGATATGAGTGCACTTTTCGACGAGATCGTCTTTTGGCTCAAGAGCGCTTCTCGTTCACCGGGAAATTCTTCCTCTTGGATTCGTCTGAGCCAAAAGTCTCGTGCCACTCGGCACTCAGCCGCGGAGAGAGCGAGCGGACTCGCCTCGTTGACGTTAGTTTTGATACGGCGAGTTCGAGATGCGAACCGAAGGATATAAGCGGTGACTCGAATTAATTTCGGTCACGACGAGTATCGCGCCGCTAAATCCCACTTTTCGACCGGCTTGACTATGTGCGCGGTGACGCGCGAGTTTTGTTTGAGTGTCGGATTGTGAGACGACGGTTCGCGTTGAGCGGGCCACTCAATCGTAGGACGTCTCAGCCACAAAGGCCCCTGCCACCACAAATGGTGGGACGCGAGATGGCATCCAAGAATGCCGCGAGAAGCGCAGTCGGCCGGATTATCTTCGGTTGGCACGTGTCTCCAGGTAGCGAACGGGACGCGGGATTGTATCTCTGAGACGCGATTAGCAACGAAAGTTTTCCACTTTGAAGGGTGTTGAGTCACCCATGCTAGCACGACGAGAGCGTCCGTCCAGCAGAAGCAAGGTATGGTAGTCAGTTGTAGCGATGATCGCACGAATTCTAACAGCCGAGCCAATAAAACGGCAGCAGATAATTCCAACCGAGGAATACTTAAAGATTTGATCGGAGCGACTTTTGACTTGGCGATGAGCAGCCTGGAAGTGGTCTCGCCTGTAACGGAGGTGACGCGAATATAAATTGCGGCCGCGAACGCGGTGGTGGAGGCATCGCAGAAGCCGTGAAGTTTGCAGTTCGCCGTGTCGGAACCGTATCGTACCCAACGGTCTACGTGAAGACCATTGATCGTCGCCAGGGATGCGTGAGTCGTCTTCCACTGCGCGAGAAGATCGTCCGCGATGGCTTCGTCCCAGTCCACTTTCGCCTGCCAGAGTTGTTGCAGAAAGATCTTTGCGTTTACTGTCACGGGCGTGACCCACCCTAACGGATCAAAGATTTTCGCTACCAAGGATAGAATGGATCTTTTGGTCTTTGGAATGGACGGAGGGAGCGAAACGTCGAATTGGAACACGTCGAGGGCAGGCTTCCAGCTTATTCCGAGCACTTTCAGTTGCTCATCGGCTTGCAATGTTTTCGAACACGCTAATCCGTGATTTTCGACGTCAATGTCGGCCAGAAGTTGCGGAGAGTTGCTCGCCCACTTACGTAATTCGAACCGCCCCCGACTTAGTAACGCGCATACTTGATCGCGCGTCTGACGAAGTAGCAGTATGTCGTCCGCTCCGAAGAGAAAGTCGTCTATATACCGGCCCTTTCGAATCACCGGAACCGCCAACGGAAATAAGCCTCCCTCGTCCCGAACTAGTTGTTCCAGAACGCGAAGCGCATCATGAGGAGCGTTAACCGTTCCGTACGTTAGGACTAACAGAATGAACGCGATGATGGTTCGAGATTCGCGATCGAACCATAGGATTCGTTGATAGTTGACGTCACGAGGATCGATTTCGATTTGACGATACATTTTTGTAATGTCGGCGGAGTACACGTATCGAGGTAGCATCCATCTTAGTAGAATGGCAGCTAAGTCGGTCTGCAACTTTTGCCCGGTTAGCAAGTGGTCATTCAGCGACGTGCCGTTGCTCGTCGGATTCGACGCGTTAAAAACGACCCGTAACCGAGTGGTGGTGCTACTTTCGCGAATCACGGGGTGATGCGGAATGTAAACGTGTTGAGATGACGCGTCTGCGTCGTGCGGTACACGCTTCATATGCCCGAGTCGCTCGTACTCCTCCATGAAGGCGCGGTATTCCGTCGCTACTCTCTCATCGGCGTTTAATCTGCGTTCAAGACCTCTTAACTGTCGCTCGGCTGAGTGATAAGAATTACCGATCTCGATTGGGGGACCGGTTTTGAACGGAAAGCGAATCACGTATCGTTCGTCGGAGCGTCGCCAATGAGTGGCGAGGAAGTGATCTTCGCATTGTTGCTCCTCCGGACTCAATGAAATGGCGCGAGGGATTTCTTCGATTTCCCAGAAGCGTCGGAGTTCCTCGTCGAGAGACGGGGTATTAGAACAGTGCTGAGCCGTGACTGTTCGAGGACGAGTTTGTGGGTCAGCCGCGGGGCCGGACAGCACCCAACCGAGAACGGTATTCTGCGCGAGGGGTTGGCCGCGGGAGCCCTTTCAAATGCCGTCGAGCAGCAAATCGCCGTACAGGTCGGCACCGATGAGTATGTCAATGGGGTCCGAGTTTGTAGGGTCCGGATCCGCGAGCGCGAGATCGGCTACATGGCTCCATTGGACGGGCGACGTTACGGGCGACGGAGTGTATTTCGTTAAATTTGTCATGACGGACGCAGTGGTCTTGAACGCGAGAGAAGTTTGGCCGATCGGCGAGATCTGAATCTCGGCCGCGTATCGACATGTTCCGGCGTCGACGCCTCCGATTGCGGAGATCGAGACGGGCATTCTAACGCGACGCAATCTTAAGCCTTGCCTCAATCGTTCGGTAATAAAGGTCATCTCTGATCCTTGATCGAGAAGCGCTCGAACGACGCGAGTACGACCGTTCGGAGATTCGGAGGGAAACCCGACTCTTACTCTTGCCGTCGCGAGCAACACGGGAGGCATCGACGACACTTTCGCGCTCGAGAATAATGTCGTGATGGGCGCGGCATCGTGGATCGATGCGGTCGCGACAGAAGTATTTTCCGCGGCAGGCGTATCTTTCGCGGTAAAGGTATCTTTCGTGGAAGAAGTGTCCGAGTCGACGTGCAACATCGAATGATGCCTTTTGCGACATGTTCGGCACGAATATTTGCTTTGACATAACTGTACGGCGTGTTTGTCGCTTAGGCAATTTACACAGCGATTCGCCTTTTTTACTGCTTCCAATCGTTGACTCGGATTCTTCTTCAGAAAGACTTGACATTTGTGTAGGAAGTGAGAAGCTTTACAAAGCGGACACGAAATTGAAGAAGCTCCCGATGCTGTAGCGCTGGTCGCCTTCTGCGCGCGAGCTTGTTTGTCTACATTCGCGGGATGCAATTCTTCGAGCGCGCGAGCACGAGAATCGAGGAATCGGTCGAGTTCGCTGAATGTTGGGATTCGCGCGTCATCCCCACCTTTTAGTTTCCACGCTTTCCGAGTGGCGGGATCAAGCCTTTGCGTGACGCTATACATAAGCATGTCGCTGAGAATGTCGGAGTCGGATCGATCTAAATTCTTCAGCGACGTGATTGCGCGATTTGCTTTATCCCAAAGCTCGCTGAGTTCGCTCGCTGATTCGCGGGAAACGCTCGGTAAATTATATAACGCGGACACATGCATCTCGACTAATCGGCGCTTATTTTCGTACCTCGACTCAAGGGCCTTCCACGCAAGTTCAAAGTTATCCGCGGTTACTGGGATGCTTCGAATAGATTCAAGCGCCCGTCCGGCGAGGCTTGATGAGAGAAAATGCATTCGCGCGAATGCAGAAAGTTCGGGATTTTTAATGATGAGGGACGTAAAGCGATCGCGGAACGTCTCCCATTCTTCATATTTCCCTGAGAACGGCGGAATGTTGATGGGCGGCAGATGCGCCAGTGAAAATGAGGAGGCAGGCGGCCCATGACTGCACGCGGCGCTCGGAGCCTGGTTCGCTGTCAGAGGCGGCGGCGTTGGCGCGAGTGCCTCCAGATATTCGGCCATGTAATCCAACGTCGTCAAGTGGATGTCCTCGGCCTGATCGAACAGTTCGTTTTGAAAATAGTCGAACGTGCTTCTCTTCGCTTCCGGAATAACTTGCAAGAGGGCCGAGTGCACGCGAACGCATTGCGTCCAGACTTCTTTGGAGCTAGCGATTCGCGCTCGGACCTTTGCAGCGGTGTAGTTATTCCTTCCGAGTTTTTTTAAGTTATCGAGCGCTCGAGTGATGGAGTGCATCAACACCTGCTGTTGAGCCAGGAGGTCGTTGATGGTAGCTGAGACTTCCGGCACGGCAGTCATGTTAACGGCTGAAGGGCTGCACTGAATATCTCGATCCGGCTCGAAGGACCAATTTATGTTCGGGCGCGTAATAAACGCGTCGAACGAATCGCCGAATCCGTTCCGCGAGAACGCGAGATAATTGCGAGTGGCT